TCCCCGCTAGATTTATAAGCCGTACGCGGCCGTACTTTTTTCCCGTCGGCCCCGCCGCGGCCGAGATCGAGTGCGATAGGCGCGCCGCCGTCGAGCGCGTTTTTTGTCGTTTTTTTCGAAAATTCGGGTTTTAGGCGTTTTAGGGCGTATCGACCTCATCTCGGTAGGTGGCTAGGTAGGATAAGCGTCAGAACTGGTGACCCGACAGTCGTGGTTTCGAACCCGGCGGCCGATTTAAATCGAAATTCTTTTTTTTGCGTTTTTTTTTTCGTTACATTTATCATTTTTAACGAAAGTGTTAATTTTTTTTTCAAATTTGCATTATTATATTATATATATTATTATTATTCGTTATTTACGATATTCATTGGGCAAAAAAAATATTATAATTAACATTTAATTAATACTTGATTTTACCGACGCACCTACATGTTTCTTTTATAAATACATTATAGTATAACTAACCTACGTGTAGTACCTACTTGATAAATTACAGTTTTTACTTGATTCCGATTTGGTTAAATACTGCTACAGATTATAAATACTATATTAAAAAATAGTACGACTATATGACTGCTCCATTTGCTGTTTTTTTCGAAAATTCGAGTGTGTTTTAGAGCCCCTTTCAGTCGTATCACCCTCCCCGTCGAAGACTTATTCGCGTTCCCCGCTAAATTTATAGCCACAGACGAGTCCCGGGGTGGAGTGGCATGTCGGAAACGAGAGTAGGTACCGTGTAGGTATTACTAGGTATCGCTATAATACAGGCATATATACATGCGCCTCGCAAATCTCAATTTTTTTTCGCAAATCTCGCGTTTTGAACGTCCGAAGGCGGCGGACACGGTCGTCCGCTCAAACACCCTTTGACGGACGCGCAACCCGCGTTCGCCATTCGTGGGGACGGCGACGCGGCTTAAGAGTCATAGATTTGACTCAGATTTTCATCTCAGTAGGTGGCTAGGTAGGTTAAGCGTTAGGACAGGTGACTCGAGGGTCGTGGTTTCGATCCCGGCCGCCGGGAATATCGATAACTTGCGGCGGCCGTGAGAAATCGGATTTATTTTTTTCGCGTTTTTTTTCGTCATAAATAATATGATTAACGGAAATGTTCCATTTTTTTCAAAATTCGAGTTTGACCACCTTTACGCACATCGTTAGGATTTCGCCCGTTATTTCCGTAATAGATATATATTTTATGCGATTTTTAATAGATTAATATTTATTACATTTTCATAATGATGTGTAGGTACTGCGTTATGATACATGTCCTATGTGCACACATGTTATATTATATTTATTGTTGTGTTATTGTTTAGGTATGTGTTTATGCATGCGTGTGTAATATTAATTGTCAATTATTACGATTTAACACTGCGCGCGATACTGTCTACGTACGAACGTTACTATACATTTATACGCTACGGTTAAATTATACGCGCTGATGTGATGGAGTGGTGCTGCCGTCGAGTAGGTTAGGTTAGGTTAGGTTACCTCCTGTATGCTTTTTCAGATTTGAACGGCTGTTTCGAGCCCTTTTCGCTGTAGGTGGATTGTCCGTTCGGGAATCGACTTTCACTAGAGATGACTGATAGCTAGACACTCAAACTCAGAACCCGAATTTCCGATTTCAACACACATACGAGAACCGGACATACACGCCCGGGGCATGGTCTGCGATCTGACGTAGTCGGATTGCCTACCTGACTAGCTACTTGCATACGAGCGACTTACATCCCAACTGCAACCGACACTCGGGAATCGACTTTTACTTGAGATGACTAATAGCTAGACACTCAAACTCAGAGAACCCGAATTTCCGATTTCAACACACATACGAGAACCGGACATACACGCCCGGGGCGTGGTCTGCGATCTGACGTAGTCGGATTGCCTACCTTACTAGCTACTTGCATACGAGCTACTTACACCCCCACTGCATCTGACACTCGGGAATCGACTTTCACCCGAGGTGACTGATAGCTAGACACTCAAACTCAGAGAACCCGAATTTCCGATTTCAACACACATACGAGAACCGGAAATATACGCCCGGGGCATTGTCTGCAATCCGACGTAGTCGGATTGCCTAGTGCCTACCTGGCTGGCTGTGTTGTACAGGTCCATGTCCCCGGCACCCCCCATTGCGATTTTTGGGTCCAAACCCGGGGCGATCGTTTGTGCTTCGTTAGTGCACGTTAGTGCTTTTTATCCCGTCGTTAGTGCTTTATCCGATTAAAAGTTATTCGCATTTCGTACAGAGGGGTGCTGGAGACATGCCTGCACCCCCCCATTTCGAATTTCGGGCCCAAACAAATTTCATTCGTTTGTGCTTCGTTAGTGCACGTTAGTGCTTCTTATCCCGTCGTTAGTGCTCCATCCCTTAAATTGTAATTGAATTTCCTACAGGGGGTTCTAAGGACATGCTAATTTAGATTTCGAATTTTGGGTCCAAAAATCTTTTATTCGTTTATGCTTCGTTAGTCCTTCAGTGTGTTATTCATCCGGTCGTTAGTGCTCTACTCCTTCAAAAGTTATTGGCATATCGTACGGGGGGGGGGGGGGTACTAGTGACGTACTAATTCGAGTCCAGTCCCCAAAGGTTTGTCTGAAACTCTTCAACACATTGAGGTTAAAATGATCCTTTGATGCATTGCAGTTATATATCATAGTTTTGGGATTAAATTACTTAAATCTGGGTTTTATATATTATGTAAAAAAGAATGTTATTAAAATTTCATATTTATGCTAATTTCTGCCAAAAGCTTTAATAGATATAACTAAATAACTAATAAGTATATAACTTTAATTTGTCCATGCGTATATGATTTACCGATATTTAAAAATATCGTAGACAGCTGATCGATAAAACTGAGTATCTAATTTTAAAAATTCTCAAAAAACTACGTAAGTACCGGTACCTATCTATATGTACCTATAATATACCTATACCCCTTACCAAAACACTACCTCCTACGAATTTTATAATTCTTTTGTTGCAATTATTTAATAACTATAGGTATAATGTGTATGATTTATGTATGATAGGTGTTGATGTATGCTTGTTTGAAAAAATATGATTTTAAAATAAAATCGTTCGCGTTATTTGTGAATATTTAAAAGTTATTTGTTAGGTATTTAACCAATAATAAATATAGATCTACGATTCTACGACCTAATACTATAAATGTTATTGCGATACAGAACCAAGATAGGTAACTTTTATCCATTCTATGAGTTCTAGAACGCCAACCCCTGGATTATTCTAACATTAGGTGAAATAATATTAATGATACCATTGAGTATAATATATATTGTTGTACAATATAGGTACGTATACTCAATGATGATAGGTATAATGGTATAAATATTTTTTTTTAAGTCCGGGAACAAATTTAATATTTTTTACGTAACTACCTATTTAGTGTATGATAATATATTATATATCTACCCAAAATATTTATGTTTGCCTATAACAACTATCTATACCTACATCATTGCAGTTAATGATTATAAATTAGATAGGGAGGTATAGATATATAAAGTATAAAACCTGTATAAAAATCGATTTAAGAAATAATAATCGTGATTTAAAATAGCTAAAAAAACATTTGTATGTTCACAGTCTATTTTTTTTTCACCACGGTAATTTCACAACGTTCAAGGCAGGATGTCCCGCTTGAACACAATTATTTTACCGCGGTGAAAATCACGGGGAGATTTCACACTCGTTGTCCACCTATTCGCCGCTCACACAAAAATATTTACCTTATAGCATTTTACGGGGAGATTTCACACTCGTTGTCCACCTATTCGCGCCTCACACAAAAATATTTACCGTATAGCATTTTACAGGGAGATTTCACAAATTTTGAATAATTTAAGTAAAAAAACTTGTGTAAATATATTTAAGAATTCGTTTATATCAATAAAAAAATCTATTATTACATAATTTGTGTTCTGTACTTTAAATAATTATTTCATTTTAATAATAAGGTTTGTTTGGGAAAAAACCATTTAGTGTGTACATGGTAAATATTTTTGAGTAAGCGGCAAAACCGCTTTTGAGTGTGCAAACTCCCTGTAACTTTAAAATACGGTAAATATTTTTCTGAAACGAAGAATTCGTGGACAAAAATTGTGAAATCTCCCTGTAAAATGCTATACAGTAAATATTTTTATGTGAGGCGCGAATAGGTGGACAACGAGTGTGAAATCTCCCCGTGATTTTCGCCGCGGTAAAATAATTGTGTTCAACCGGGACATCCTGCATTGAACGTTGTGAAATTACCGTGGTGAAAAAAAAATAGACTGTGAACATACAAATGTTTTTTTTAGCTATTTTAAATCACGATTATTATTTCTTAAATCGATTTTTATACAGGTTTTATACTTAATACATCTATACCTTCCTATCTAATTTATAATCATTAACTGCAATGATGTAGGTATAGGTAGTTGTTATAGGCAAACATAAATATTTTGGGTAGATATATATATTGTCGTATACGCCACGCAAAGGCTTGACGTATATAACAGATATGTTTCGGTTTCCGATTCTCTAACCGTCGAACGAGTAAATTATCGACACCTGCTGTATGAGTTTAATTTAATTTCTCCTTTTGGTGACCACGATAACGAGTACTGCGCAAAAGGATAATTAAATAAAAGTCCAGCAGGATTTACACTATACAACTCAAAGGTTATTTTACTCTCGAACAACTGACCACGATAACGAGTACTGGATGTTCGAGGGTGAGGTATCTTTTACCTAGACAAAGTCTTACTCTTTCTCGACCATGGGCGGATAGGTCAATTTTGGACTACCGGGAAATTTTACAAAGGGGCCCCAAACATGAAAAAAAAAGTCGCTCGCTCCGCTCGCAACTACATTACTATATGAATTTTATTAAGTACCACATCAAAATAAAGCATAACACATAACCAACAATGTATAACAAAACAATTTTTTACTATTTAATCTAATTTAGTTTTTCATTTTAACATAGTAACATTCTACCAAATACTGGGCTTCTAGCTCCTAATTTTTTTATGATGTCTTCGGAATCAATTTTGTTGAGAATATCTTTTTATACATTCATTAGCAACATACTCTCTAATACATTCTGACCTATTGTATTTCTTAAATAACTTTTTACAAATTTTAATTTCGAAAAGGTACTTTCACATTCTACTTGTGTAATGGATAAAGTAAGCATAAATTTATATGCAAAGTGGAGGCCACGATATGTATTTGCGTATAAATTATATTTCACCAACACTTCATAACAGCAGGTTACACAATACTTGGTACTGGCACTATGCACACATACTATAATATCATCATCACTCTTGAGTCCTAGAACAAAACATAAAATAAAATATAACATAATTATTGATGATTTTATTTTTTAATATTTATGTAATAATAAATATAGATTACCATTTTCTGAATCATCACCATCATCAGTAACTTGATTATTTAGTTCATCATACACACAAGCAATGGTTTTTTTCAATTCTCTCCATTTAGATGTAAAGTTAACATATTCATTTCTAAGATCATCGTAAGTTATGTCCGGAATAAAATTTCTGATTTTTTCATATATTTTTATTAAAGCATTTGTTGGAAGTGGTAAATCTGGTTGAAAATTGTTTGGGTCAAGACAAGAAAAATCTGCACATAGTTGTTCATGTTTTTCAAATCTTGATGAAATACTTTCAATAACAGTATCAAATACTTGGTTATAAACATTGATTTCAAATGCCCGTAATGGATCTGTAATAGGATCATCTATTGATTCATAGTCAGTAAATTGTCTTTTTTTTTCTTACTCTAATATGAGGTAACTCATTTAGAATTTCTAAAGTATTATTCTCCATTTCATCAAATTTTTTATTGGTATATTCAACAAAAGTATTGGCTGCTTCTTTTATACATTGCAATTGGCGGGCACAGTCTTGCAAATCATTCAAAGTTTGTTTCACCATTTGATAAGCTGCAATTATATTAACTCCATGCCCTTGTAAATATTTTGATAGAGGAGTGGTTTTTTTAAAAATTCGCAAGTACATTTGGGCAGTTAAAATAGTTTCATATTTTAACAAACCTTCTTTTAAATTTTTTGCCTTGAATCGAGCATCTGGAGTTATACCTAAATTGTTTTCAATTTCATCTAATGTAGTTATGAGATCAACATACAATCCATTTTCGGGTTCATTAAATTGTCCAAAAACCTTTGTCAATGCTGCATCTTTGGACCACCATCTTGTTTCGCCGATTGTACATATTTTTTTTTGGAATTTTTGGTTGTCCATATGTCCATACGTTTATATGACTCACGTATAAATACCGCACATCCTTGCAAGATACCAAACAAAGAAATAGATTGGACAATTTTGCTTGTAATATCACTAATAACTAAATTTAATACATGTGCATAACACCATACATGTACTTGTTCAACTGTTGCTTCGCTCATTTTCGTGGAAAATCCATTATAAACTCCTTGCATATTTGCAGCTCCGTAGGTTGCGTTTCCTATACAGCATTTTGGGTCTAGATTCATATCTTTGAGAACTTTTAAGAGTAACTCAACAAAATCGGAGCCTTTACTTGAGCTACACCTTACCATACCAACTAATCTTTCAAAGACAGATGTACCATTTACATATCTTAATATTATTGAGCATTGATCTGTAACAGATATATCTTGTGTTGTATCGAGTTGTACAGAATATATTACAGCATCTTTCACTTCATTAGAAATTGTAAATTTGATATTTTTAGCAATAATTTCAGGAATATAATTAATTGTAGTTTTTGATAAAAAAGTAACTTGACCTCCTCCTTGTTTGGCTCCAGAATTATAACATTTTAAACTTTTTTTTACAACTTTATCTAAATGTGATTTAAGCAAGGAATCATATTTACTAATAAGTAAAGTTATTTCCAAAAAATTGCCATGGTCTAAGGAAGTATCGTCGAGTGAATAAGCAGCCTCATTTGTTTTACCTCTATAACTTAGTCCGCGCTTTCCAATTAACTTTAACACATCAATAAGACGAAGTAATACATTCCGATTGTTTTCAACTTGTATTTTTCTTATTGAACCAAGTCCGTGTGTTAAAAGTGAATCCACTGAAGAAAATTGCTTTTTCATCAAATGAGCATCAACATTTAATTTGTGTGTTATTGTTTCTTCGTGATCACTGACTCGCTCATATACATGTTTCCAGACAGAAAATCCTTTGGAAAATGATCCAGAACCATCACCATAACAAAGACATATATTGCAAAATAAAGCTTTTTTCTTAACACAATAAGATATCCATTTACGATGACCTCCATCCTTACGGTTGTACAATTTTGAAGGTCTGAATGGAATGTTGGTTTTCGGTTGATGAGGATGGAATGACCAAAAGCTTGTAAAATTAATACTTCTAGGTTTTATAAACATATCAGTAGCCTCTGTAAAAAAAAAAGTTATACTTGTTTAAAATTATAGAATTTAAATTTACGTATAACATTTATTATAAACTATTATTATTAACACAATTATATATTTGTATAATACTTGTAATAGCACTCAGTGTGCTGAAACATTTTAATTTACAATTAAAAATAAAAAAAAATGCAGGTGTATATTATATAGGTACCATTATCAATATTTGAACAGATTTCAACTATTTCCATGGTATCAACATTTTCAACATTTTCAATTGTATTAACTTGATTTTTTTCATTGTCTTGTTTTGAAGCATTGACATCTAGAAAGTAGTTTTAGTTTTTAAAATAGTTTAGGTAAAAAAGTTAACTAGAAATTACCATTATCACTATTCAGATTTTCTCTTTCATTTTCAATAGCAGTACTGTTATATTTTTCAAATTACTGTCACCTACAGATGATAATTGGAAATTAGATTTATATAATTAAAAATTAGTTATATAATATTATATAGGTACCAGTAGTATATATATACCAGTCCTGGCACACCTCATAATATATCAGTAAAAGATCACAAAGAAAACAATGTGCAAAAAGATCAGAAAATTGAAATGCAATAATAATTAAAAAAATTTTTCGCAAAACTTATGAAATGCAATAATTATAAAAATATTTTCCGCAAAACTTAATTATTAAAAATAAAAATCGAAATGCAATAATAATTAAAAAATTTTTTCGCAAAACTTATGAAATGTAATAATAATAAAAATATTTTCCGCAAAACTTAATTATTAAAAATAAAAATCGAAATGTAATAATAATAAAAACATTTTTCGCAAAACTTATTAAATACAAAAACCCCCAAAATATTTTTCATAATACTTATGATATTAATAATTAAAATATTTTTTAATAGAATTGTTCTATTAAAAAAAAGTCTAACAACAAACTAGTGAACATTAAATATAGTTTTCAAACCAATTATTCATTATATGATTCGATAATTCATAATGAATTTTCTTAAAATAATCAAATAATTTCTTAAAATTGTTTTGGTAACGATTGTAACTATACTTATTATCATAAGATTGATATAAAGATGATACATGAGTTTCTAAACTATACATAGATGATTCAATTTCTGATAACTCATTTAGTATATTTTTATACTTTTGGATCATATCTAAATGATTTTTACAAGTTTCCATTTCTAAAAGTTTTTACAATTTTCCATTTCTATTATTTATATTAGTAAAAAAATTTTTTTTTTAACATTTTTCTATTAAAAATATTTTTCTAATCTTTTTGATTTTGATTTCTAATCAGTGTATTGAGATGGTTTACAAAATCGTTTCTATCTATGTTTGTTTTATAATGTCCCCAAGCTAATATATCAATACCATTTTCCAAAGTAAATCTTTTATAATCATAAACACTTAAAGCTTTTTTGTTTTGTTCTACAGTAAAAATATCTTGTTTCTTAGTTCTAAATAAATTTTGTTTAATATATTTTGATTCTTTTGTTAGTAAACATTTTTCAAAATCATTAAAACATATTTTATTTTCTACAACATTTTTTTAACACATTTAGCTTTTTTAATTTCTTTTTCAGTATCTAAGATTCGATGAGAATATAATTTAGATCTTAAACCTATAAATTCAGATTTCAGACATTATTTTTCCATTTAACTCATCTTTAAACTTGCCTAAAACTTTTTTGTTAACTAAAGGTAAACCATAAATATTATCTTTTGGATAATCTGAAGTGTCAAAATGATCTAATAAATTTTCATATCTTGATAAAAATCTTTAGTTTTTATTTCTAATATTAGTGAATCTGTATCTGTATATAACAATCTAACTCTATTTACATATTTTTTCTTTATAATCTGTATATATAAAAAGACTTGTCCTGGGTGATTCATAGCCGGAACTGCTGGGTCTAGAGACTTGAAATTTTGTACAGAGGTTCCTTAAGCAATGTAAGGGCGCACTAAGAAAGGATTTTTGAAAATTCGACCTACAAGGGGGTAAAAGTGGGGTTGAAAGAATATGATAGTGGCGCCATCTATCAAGCAATATTTAATTTAAATATACAATATTGGTATTAAAATGAGTGAATTAAAAATAAAAATAATTTATATTGATATGATAATAACAATTTATACATCTCTATGGCAATTAATACATCAGCTCGCTGTACTGGCTAATACAGTATAATCTATGGTTAATCGGGCATGTTTGTTTTTTTTTTGTTTATACTATAAACGCACTGCTATCAACGCACAGCTCAAACCATTGGATGGATCTGGCTGAAATTTGGCATACAGATAGCTATTATGATGTAGACGAGCGTTAAGAAAGGATTTGCCAAAATTCGCATTTTAAATAGGTGCTGAAACAGGGACATTGAGATTCACGATAGAAATTGAAAATTTTATTTTTATTTATTTATAGTTGCCATTGGTTACAGTCTACATTAGAAATTAGCATTTATTTATTGGTTGCCATTGGTTATTCGGGCAGATCAGGCGTACAAGCTTGCATCAAATCGAATTATTGAACATTGCCTACCAGGGTGGCTGAGTTGCACTTACCGCAGCAAGTTACACCCAAAAGGAGTTCAACAATCATAATTTTTTTAAGAGTTGCGATTTTTTACGAGCAACCAAATTTGTTATATTAATCCACAGTATTATATCAAAATAAACTTGGTATAACTTTGATACTTTAGAGTTAAATCATACACTTCCGTACAAACAGCACGGGGTCCGCGATCTACCGCAGGTAGATTGCCTACCTGATAATGTACTGCTGCGATTCAGAATTTTTATTCCGGGCAACGGAAAAGATAAGATAAATTTTGAACACCATACACCGAATATTGAATAATGAATTGAACAAAGTTTGAGTCATATTGAGTTGATACATTTAACGGGCGACGAAGTGCACGGGATCAGCTAGTATTATAATAAAAATCATACATTAACATTTTAGATAAATCTAAAATACACATTCCTACATATATTGGTTGTTTGAAAGATATTTGTGTTCTTTTCATATGTACGGCAGCTAAATTTTCTGTAAAAATTGTCCTTCGATCAAAATTTGGTTTTGTAATTAATTTTTCTAGTTGGGCTGCATTAGAACATAATTTTATATCAACATGATTTCGAACATTCATCATAGTACCTCCATAAACACTATTATTCATTAATTTGAAAAATTCTTTTTCAAACTCATTCTTAGCTTCTGATCTAAGATTAGTATTAAAATCAATATAAACTTTTAACCAAGGAGATTGACTAAATTCTAATACTCTATGAATTTTCTCTATCTTTAAACCTAAATTAATATATAATTTTAGTGTTTCATAATGTATTATATATTTTTTCTTATCATACAAAGTTGTTAATAATTTTGGAAGTTGTTTGTTATCAAAATGTCTTTCTGGTGCTAAAGGGAAATCTGAATGTAGATCATGGAGTTCTTTAGGGTAAGATAAATCGACTTCTAAAATATAACCTTTACATGATTTATCAGAAATATTCATTACATCAAAATCATTCAGATTATCAACCCATTTGAAATCTCCAGTAGGTAAATATTTATTCATTGCCCACCCAT